TACCCAAAAGTGGTATAGACCCCTAGGCTAGTCCCATCAACAAAAAAATTTTTTTGCATTGAATTAAAAGAAAAAAAAATATACAAAAATGTGCAGATTTTCAAGCTCTATCTAGCTAGACTAGTAAGAGAAAGAACTAGGGGGGTGGCAGATTTACGATCTTATCCGGCGGTATCCTTTTTGCAAATTTCTATTATCGTGGACAAGTATTAGAAACATGAAAGGAACAAAACACACCGATAATAATATTACATCGCAAATAGATAATAGAAACTGGCATAATGTTGTACACATACAAGAAACAAGTAATTGAATGTCTTCAAGAATATCGTATTTTTTTATGATTGTTAAAAATTGACTTGTCCTTCTGCTAAAAAGTCATAGTCGTTACTTATAAATAGTAATTTTCACATCTGGTATGTTCATATAAGTATACGTGATCGGACTAAAGATCCTGAGTATTTCAACGAATCTCAAGAGATCAATCCGTTTAAACGCGTTCAATTACTCTACAAAAAACTGGAAATAACGAGTTACTGTTATGCTGCCTTTGAAAATATTGAAACGCATAAAATTTGTGGTACAGCTGGGTGGAAACGTGTAAACCTTGAAAAATTTTACATGTTTTAACATATTCAGGTATCACTAATGCGATTAACCCTTCCGCAGTGAACTTATTTTTGTAACAAATAAAGTAAAAAGTCTATTGTTAAAGTGGTATAGTTTGAAAATTATTGGCGATCGTCATTCTTGCACTTAAATTTAATTTTAAAAAATTTTAACGCATTTTCTAAGAAATCTTGTCTGAATAGATAGGACTGGTTTCTGCCGTTTTATATCATTTACAGTACTACTATTTTTGATCTGAGTTGTAGGTTTTCTTTTCAATTTCTTCTTCATTTTATAATAAAACATGTTGAAAAATATCGTACTTCATATAAAAAGTTGTCTATACAATAGTATGGTTCGAAATACAACAAAAAGGGATTGAAACATTTCGTAAAAATCTCTAAAGCCAATAGCGACAATTTTTACGATATTTGTGAGACATCTGTAACTATCGATGGTTTAGGTTTTCTACAGCTTGCTTTTTTATTTTTTTCGTTCTATTTAAAATCATACCGTCATGTCGAGATATTTTTTTTTCTCCATGAAATGAGATATTTTTTTTTCTCCATGAAATGAGATATTTTTTTTTTTCTCCATGAAATGAGATATTTTTCAAAATGCTTTGATGTAAAATGAAGGTGCAATTTGAAAAAAAAGAAGACGATACAATTATTAGAAAAACAACCACTAACTTCTTTTCGCCACAAAAGGAAGATTTTTTCATCATAATCTAGGAAATTTAGATGGAATTTTCTCATTTTTATATAAATGATGGAGTAAACTTCGAACTATCGAATAGTATTAATCAAATTGAGGGAAGTTTCTCTTCGAACGATAATAATTATATATATCTCAATTGTTTTTTGAGCTATTGTATGTCAAGAATTGTTGATAAAAGCCCAGAATAATATCAGAATAAGGACCACCTAAACCACGATCCAGTTAATTTTTCCTCTGATATGAATATCTTCCTTATGCAAAAAAAACAGTGACTGTTTTAGTATAGATACCAAACACAATTTTGTTAGAGATTGCATGATAATTCATCTTTTAATTCTTTTAGAAATTTCATTTCTTTGTTTATGAATAACCTCATTAAAGGTAGGCATAGAAGAATAGCAGAAAGAAAAACGATCCTATCAGATCAATACAAAATATTAGCTCGTTTTTTTTTAGCCAATTTGCGTTCAATCGAATTCGAATCAAGATTTGTTTCTACATTTCAGTCTTTCGTTTCACCGTACTAGGCACTAGAAATGAATAGAGAAAAATATTTTCTGAATAAATAAAGCTAGAAACCGACCTAAAATATATTGTTTACATTATTAAAAAAGAATAACCTGGAGAGTAAAGATTCATGATGATGTATGAACAAATTGCAAAGAAAATCAATATTTATAAATCTCTTTCAAAATAACCGTCATCTGGCTGTATAGAAAATATGCAGTGAAGTAAACTAGAGTAATGCTCATATTAGTCTTAAGATGAGAAATGATTAACGAACGATACGATGATAGAAAATGTAATATATGTTTCAACTTTTGCTGATCGATGATATTAGAATCAAATGTTATCGAAAGGTAGCGACTTAAAACTACAATAGAACAATTTTTTTCTATCGTGAAACACAAGACAATTAATGTTGACAAGTTGTCAGCATTCAAAGTAATGGGAAATATTTGTTAGACAAGTATTAAACAATAGAGACAAAATTTATGATTATCGACTACATCGATCGTGATATTATTAAAAAGTATCAATTGTCAATACATAAGCAAAAAAGAACGATCATACAACAAAATCTCCAAAAACTAAACAGTAAAAATCTGTTGTTATCGATCGTAAAAATGTTTAGCATTGTTACGCATTGAAGTCTCGTTCGAACAAGAATAAGATAAGATGAATGTCGAATTTATAGTTACCTGAGAAAAATATATATGTCAAACTTAAACGTTGAATTCAATTCAGCTTTCAAACATCCACACACCTCTCTCGACATATGGAGAATTAAAAAGGCAAACAATCGACGAATGGCGGAACACATAACAATAAAGAAAATATCAACATTTGCTAAATTGATGATGAGGAAAAATCACCAGAATGAACTATCACTACGTTATAAGCATCCTGTGGTTTTTTTTACAGTTTATTAAATGATTTCAACGTTGTTTTGCTATTTTCTATAATCTTCACGGTGATAAAATAATCTTTAATATAAAAAGACAATCTATCAAACTTTTTTTTAAATTTATTGCAGTAGATGTCGCAATTACACATCCATACTTTACCAACCATATAAACTACTCGGACATTCGAGAAGAATATCTATATTTCCTTCGCAGAAACAATTACTTCTTACTGGTTGTAATAATTTTCTTACAGATTATCATCATCATCATCATGTTTAAACGTAAATTATCTGCACTTGACTACGGAAAAGATTATAACCCACAAGGTGAAAAATTAAACATCTATATATTTTGATTTGAAATCATAGTTTTTTTTTTCGAAGACGAAACACAATTTCGACAAATGGCTGTATGGCTTGAAGATATGAAAATACGTTTATATCCCATTGATGGACGACAAAGTCTTCGTGATATTCAAAATCCTCAATGGCATGAAACTTTTTCCAAAGTAAATTATTTATTTCATAAATGAAAACAGTTATATATATATTAAACTATATTCTAGTATTTACAAGATTTAAAATTTCCATATAATAATGAAATGATTAACGATCGAATAGCTTTAAGTGATTGGCTTATGGGAACAGCTATACGATTTGAATATGGTGATAATGGTAAATCTAATTGATTTTTCGTTAAATAAATATTTAAAAAAAGTGTTTTATTTTTTTAGTTGAGAAATACAAACCGATTTCATCGAATATAATAAATAATCAACAAAAATCGAATTCAGTTAATCAAACTGGAAATCCGTTAGAAGCAATCGATTGTAAATTAACTCATGTCGTTTTTGTTTGTTAATTATTTCTTTTTTTCTTTAGATACAAGTGAAGAATTTAAATCTGGTATGGTAAAATTATGTGAACTTTTACAAATTCCAACAAAATTTAATGATACAACAGCAGTTCTTCGTGTAAATTATTGTCTTTTATTATGATTATTTTTTTGTCTTTACTAATTATTTGTTTTTTTTAAGGCTGTAAGTAAAATAATAACAACAAAATTATCAAAGGAAGCAATTGATAAAAATCAAATAAAAGAACAAGTATGAATAAAATTATTTATGAGATTTTTATTTAAAAAAAATATTTTATCTTTTTTGACAAAGGGTTCAGGTGTTGATTTTTCTATTGAACAAATGCCACTGGGTTTTGATACTGGTGATAAAATAATTAATGAAGCTGCAAAAATTCTTCGATTATTATATATTCAAGATTTACGAACATTACAAACTAAAATCAATGAAACTATTGTTAGTGTGCAATCATTTGTTGCAGATCCACGTACGGATAGTAAATTAGGACAAATTGGTTGGTAAAACTGTTAACGATAATAATAATTATTGTTATTTTGTTTTCATTTTGTTTAAAAGAACATTTTGTTATTATTAATTTTAACTTTTATGTTTAACAAGATCATTTGGGTTTTTTTTGTTTTCAGATAGATAAATCACCTTATGATATAAATAGACAGAACTCAACTGCCCGTTGTAGAAAGCTTCAAACCTCTTGAACAATTATTTTCTGCTTGCGCTATTAAAATAACCGAAGACTTCTTCGTTGTCTTATGCAGGTAAAAATATTTAGAGAATAATGAAGAGAATTAATTTAGTAAAATGATATCTCTATGAATTTTTTTTTTGTATTTAGAATCTTTTATTAAATTCGTTAAATCCTATTTGATACTCTTTGTTTTGAATAACGTTGTAATACAAATGACATTGTGGTAAAAGAATTTTTATAAATAGAAAAATATTTTGAATATTTACAGATATTATAAAATCAATCGATAATGTATATTTTGTATGTTTAATTCACATGCGAATTTTTAATAATTGAATGAATATAACATTGAATCGAACATGTTTGTCGCGGTTCAATGTTATCATACTAATAGAATTATAAAATTTCGTATATATATATATATATATATATATATGAGTTCCTAAATAGTTTATATTACTCTGAGGATTAGCAATATGCAGAATTATCAGATTTTGTCAATTGAGTGGAAAAAATTAACATTTTTTCAAGTTGTGAATATTTTTCTAGGAGAGTTTTATTAGAATTTTTACTATGACTGCTATTAACAATTCACCATTGTCCTTCCATAATCATTAGATAATTCAATACTTTGAGACTATTAATTAGCAGTACGATATACGCTTGCTTCAATCTGAAATCTTTCGCAAAATAAACTTAGCATCCTGTGTTCGTAAAAATATCATTTGAGTCAACAATGTTTTTCCAACATGAATTCAAGTCAGAGTTGTAATCGCTTGATCTTCACCGGTTGGAAGGGTGTGGGTGTGAGTATGAGTATGCATTCCCTCTTCACTCAGGCATATTCACACCCACACCCATCTAACTTGGTAGCCATCTGTGTTGATAACTATCTGACTCAGTGCCCATCTGACTTGGAAGCCATCTCATTTGGAGACCAACTGGCTTGGTATCATGAACTAATTATCTAAAATATAATTGTTGTCTGTAAGACTGATTAAATGCAACTTATATTCATTTTCGGTGATAAATTCATTCAGCGATAATGAAATTGGCGAATTTCATTTTCGACGAATTTCTGTCGATGAAAATTAATTTTCGGCGAATTTCTGTCGATGAAACTTAATTTTCGACGAATTTCTGTCGATGAAACTTAATTTTCGACGAATTTCTGTCGATGAAAATTAATTTTCGACGAATTTCTGTCGATGAAACTTAATTTTCGGCGAAAATAGACTAAAGCATTCCTAATAACCTAAGTGCAAAAAGAAAAATGAATGTTTTTTTTGAAACCATTCCCATCAACCCATTAGTAATGACCTGACAAACCGGCCGGATCGAATCAGTACAAATATTTTGCCACCGACTACAATTCTGATTCAACTTAAAATTTAAAAAGGTGATTTTTATTCATTAATTCTTATACTTTAGACTAGATTATGGATGATGAATTCAAAGATACAAGCATGAATATGAGTAAGACTAAAAACGAGAAAATAACTATATTAGTAACAACTTTCACAAAAACATCAGCAATATCAGTTTCTTGTAATTAAAAAACAGTGATTAACTATGAACGAAGATGCATCATAGTTAAATTGTCATCATCCATAAGTTCGACATGTAAATATTGAATGACTACTGTCTGCGCCGCAACTAAAGAGGGATGGCTGTAAGTTAAATAGCTCGACAACGACAATAGCTGGTGACCTCTGATTTCCAGCAATCGAAAGGGAAGAATTCTGGACATCCTTTTGTCTAATAGTATATAAGATAAAATTATTTTAAAACCGCTCATCTCCGTAAAAGATTCAAAAAATGCATGAAAAAAGTGTGCCCCTTCAAGAAAATTTTGATAAAAATCAACAGAATTCTATATAATTTGATCGAATAGATGCGTGATTTTTGTTTGCTCAACATTAAAATATGAGAAGATAACAAAGGAACGTCTGAAGTTCTTCTCTTTCAATTGCTGAAAACCGTAGATCACTAGATTTTATGGTTGTCCAGATATTGAGCTTGCAGCCATTTGTCTTTAATTCTGGTGCGTATATTACTTTTCAATTTTTGTTCTTTGAAGTTCGGTAGGAAAAATTCTAATTTCTCTTTTCAAAAGATAAATCTATTTATAGTTAGTTTTTAACTACAGGTCACTCTTGATTGAGGATTCTTTTCTTTTTACTCATCAGCGATAGGATCAGTTCGATTAGCTGCTTTTCAAACCGATCCCAGTTTTCGTTCGATTTAAATTTTGAAAAGACCTGAATTGATCCCATCTCTATTACTCACTTCGATCGTATTGATCATTTTTATATAATCAAAATATGTACAACAAAACAAATTTTGATAATCTCATATATAGATATATGTATCGTTCTTCATTTCAGATATTTGTAATCATGACGAAACCAATGAATTATGATAAATGGAAAAAAATCGAAGTATCCGATGATGAAGATGATACACATCCAAATATTGATACACCAAGTTTATTTCGTTGGCGTCATCAAGCACGTGTTGAACGACGTGAACAACGAATTGAAGAACAACGTGATCATGAAAAGAAAAGCAAAGAGTAAAAAATTAAATTTTCGTTTTTTTTCCTCTATATGAATATTTCTTTTTTTTAGACTTATTGAACGTCGAAAAAATTTTAATACAAAACTTAAAAAATTAGAAAATGTAAATATGAAAATTGTCATGAAAATTCTTATTTTGTAAATATTTTATAATTTAGGAAGGTGGTGATGTATCAACTTTGAAAGGTGAAAAAGAATCTTTAGAAAAAGAAGAACGTCAATGGAAAGAAAAAGATGAAGAAATAAAAAAAAGTGAACGTTTACGTCCATTAGATGTTGATGATTTAACTCATGAAGGTAAATCAAAAACTTCAATTAATAAAAAAACAACTGAAGAACGACCAAAAAATATGACAGAAGACGAACAAGCTGAATATTATGTATGTAGTTTTATTGAATATTTCAATTGAGCTTTTTTTTTCTTGTAGAAACAATTTGTTGAAAAACATAAAGCTGATATAAAAAAATATGGAATGTTTCGTCATTATGATGATACACAAAAATTTCTTGAAGATCATTTCGAATTAGTTTGTGAAGAAACAGCTAATTATTTAGTTGTTTGGTGTATCGATTTAGAAATGGAAGAAGTAAAAAAAATTCTTTTGTCTTTTGTTTTTGACATTGATTGAAATATTCTAATTGTTCTATTTTATTTTTAGAAACATGGTCTTATGGAACATGTTAGTCATCAAACAATGATCATGCAATTTATTCTTGAATTAAGTAAAAGTTTAAAGGTTGATCCACGTCAATGTGTTCGACCATTTTTTACAAGGTTTAATAAATTATTTATTTTTTTTCTTGATAATATTTAAAACTAAAGAATTTTTATTTCATTTAGAATGAAAACAGCCGATGAACAATATAAACAAGGATTTTTTGATGAACTTCAAGCATTCCGTGAACGAGTTCAAAAACGTGCAAAACAAAAAGTTGAAGATGCTGTTAAACAATATGAAGAGGTAGAGTTATTAGAAATAAAAAAAAACAAAAACATTCTAAAATATATTTAATAAATATAATATTTTCTAGGAAGAACGACAAAAACGTTTAGGTCCAGGTGGTTTGGATCCGGTTGAAGTCATGGAATCATTACCAAAAGTAAAAGTTATTTTTGATGACGATTTGTTTACTTTTGATTTTGTTTTTTAAGGAATTACAAGAATGTTTTGAATCACGTGATGTTACACAATTACAAGATGTTTTATCTAAAATGCCTCGAGATGAAGCCGCTAATCATCTGGATCGTTGTATTAAATCTGGTTTATGGGTACCAAATGCAAAAGATGCTGAAGGTGATGGTGATGTTGAAACAAAAAGTGAAGAAGAAGAAAACCAAGATAAAGTTAGACAAGATGTTGAAAAATTACAAGTTGAATAATAACAAAAAAACAATTTGAAGAAAATTGAAAACATTGAGCTTTGTATACATGTTTCAATGATTTTTTTTTATTTTAATCAAACTACTTCTTTTGTTTTTTTTGTCTCTCTTCTTTTTTGCGAAAGTTCAAGTTAATCAACTAAAAGATTGTCTTTATATTCGCAAAATAATTTTTGTTCTTTTTATCAAAGACTAGAAAGCCATAAATATATATATATATATATCATCATTATTACAATGTATGAAATATTTCAGAGTCATATGCATAAGAAAAAAAAAATAATAATGAATAAACAAATTAAGTACTTCGTCATAAAGATTCGCGGACAAAAGTCTCCATCTTAGAAGATCTCAGCCATTAGAAATGCTTGAAGTTTGAAAACTTTTGTACCTATACTTCGTCAAGAGTATAGATGATGAATAAACATTCTACTGTAGTTGCTTAATTACGAAAAGAATTATAATGGATGACATCTATTTTTTTCACTAAGCTTTTTATTCCAAAAAGGAGTGTCAACTCAATTTTACACTACTTTTTTTCTACGAATACATGAGTAAATCTTGATATTTTTGAGTGGAACTAGAGTTCATTTAATAGTTGCTCTTTATCGAAAAGATGAGTTCATTTGCTTGAATATTGAGGTCTCTGGATAATTCTGAATCCTTCACCTTATTAAAACAATGCTTATAACTATGCTATTTCCCAACAGTACCCAGTTTGTTCACGAAACTGGTCAACACTAATGCCCAACTGTAGTGGTAGTTTTTCTAAGAGTTTGAACTTCATTCACTGAATTACTACTGCATTCTCATCTCAAAAGGACATCAGTTGATTTTTCTTCACACGAGCAGTCATAGTAAAATGGCCACAGTAATAAAGAGGATTGATAGACTTCAATGAGATTAGTCATGTAGACAGCTTAGATACAATGCCACATAATGAGTCATTAGTTGATCTAGAAAGCTCATCTTTTCTGGAATCATGAAGTTCAATGACAATATAGATGCCATCCATTATAATTCTCTTTGTACTTACATAATCGAAGCAAAATTGTGTCTCTGATCTACACTCTCGACAAAGTATGTATACATAAATTTTCAGTCGTTCAACACGTATAATGGCTGAGATCGTCTAGGGAAAATACATTTGTCCACTATTATAGAATTCATTCTATAAGAAATATTTGTCTCGAATAAGATTTTCAATACGCATTGCATATTGAGCAAAACCTATCCATGCGCTGCAAGTTTATTCACACTACGCCAGTAAGCATATCTGTCAGAAGTTATTCTACCTTTTAAGTAGCAAACTACCGTCGGTTGATTTTTGGTATACCGGTGACTTTTTTCGGTTGGAATCACATGGGTACACATGATTGATTTTGTTTTTCCAAATATGAGATTATTAGATGCTATGACTATATTCACCATTGTTATCTTGATGAAAAACTGTTTAAAAAAATCCTGTAGTTCTTTTCGTGAAACTTTCATTGAATTAAATTGATAGATCAATAGTGATAGTTTGACATGTACTCGATTTTATGATTAGTTATCAGAACAATAAATCGATTTAATTTCGATTTGTTTTTTCTTCGTTAATTTGTTTCTTATCGAAAATAAATTCTAAAAGTATGAATTGTTCAAAAAGTGATCGTTTTTCTGAATGTTTAACAAGGTTCAATGTCCAACAAAATATTATCTAAATAAGACTTATAATAAAAGCAATGGCGCCTATGATATCGAATGAATATAATTATTATAATAATATTTTATACGAATTTTCGTCAGTTATTATTTTTCTTGATTGTTTGATTATTTTTTGTGCGCTGTTTATTCAATATTAATATACGTAAATTCTTTTCAATCTTGTCGAATATTTACCCAGTACATTTGGGTATTATGTTGATGCTCCATCTAGTATGATAAAAATTGTATTAATATTATCCATTGGCCATCTAAAAGGCATTTTTATTTTTGATTGATGGCAACTGATGAAAATATAAATGTTGATGCTGTCATAGAACAGTTATTAGAAGTTCGTAAACATCCAAAACTAGATAAAATTGAACTAAAAGAAAATGATATTCGATTAATTATACAAAAAGCACGTGAAATATTTTTAAGTCAACCAGTTCTTCTTGAATTAGGTAAGATATAGAATTAAATTGTTTGTGTCTTTTTTTTTTGTATTCCTATTTAATTCATTTTAAATAGAAGCTCCATTAAAAATTTGCGGTGATACACACGGTCAATTTGCTGATTTACTTCGTTTATTTGATGCTAATGGATATCCACCGGAAGCAAATTATCTATTTCTTGGTAAATCATATATAGTTCTGAACAAAAGTAACCGCTCCACACGAAGTACTACTTTTCTTTTTGATATTGAACTAATATTTTGTGCGCATTACATGTTCTTTCTCGTGTGAAAAATATATTCAGTGAAAATATGCACTCGAAAAGATTTTGTTTGTTATTTTACTACTCTACAATCTGCTACCACATTTTTCTAACTCTAAAATGAGTCCCATATATCTACTTTATTGTTATCAAAGTTCATGACATATAAATAAGATTTTAATAATTAGTACACTTTGAGATAGTAAACTCGACTTGCTGCGGTTCGACAAATTTCACAACAGATTTGTTGTCTCGTACGAACTTCCTACTAAAATTTTCAAATGAATTGGTTAAATTCATCGTGAAAAAGATTCACCTTATTAAAAACCAGCATTTGCTCTTGAACAGACATTCTTAATGAGGAAAAAAAGTATCTCAGTTGTTTTAATGTAATTTCTAATGAAGTTTAGACTAAAACTAGCTACCATAGTGATCTTTCGAATAAAAAATTGGACGAAAATATTTGCACCAACATGGTTGAGATAAAACGATCACAAGACAAAGATGATATCTGAATCCTAACCTCAGTACATATGAAGTAATGAAGAACGGGTTTATACTTGCGATTTATTTTCTTAACATCCAATTTTTATTTTTTTTTACATATCTAGGTGATTATGTTGATCGTGGAAAAATGTCACTTGAAACTATCATTATGCTTTTTTGTTATAAAATAAAATATGCTGAAAATTTCTTTTTATTACGTGGAAATCATGAATGTGCATCAATTAATCGTATATATGGTTTTTATGATGAAGTTAAACGACGTTATAATGTTAAATTATGGAAAACATTTACAGATTGTTTTAATTGTTTACCAATAGCAGCAATAATTGATGAAAAAATTTTTTGTTGTCATGGTGGTCTTAGTCCAGATTTACATTCATTTGAACAAATAAGACGTATAGCAAGACCAACTGATGTACCTGATACAGGATTACTTTGTGATCTTCTTTGGTCTGATCCCGATAAAGATACAACAGAATGGGGTGAAAATGATCGTGGTGTATCATTTACATTTGGTGCTGAAGTTGTTACACGTTTTTTAACACGACATGATCTTGATCTTATCTGTCGAGGACATCAGGTTTGAATTTAAATGAAAAAAAAACACACACATTATTTTTATTGTATTGAATAATTTTAGGTTGTTGAAGATGGTTATGAATTTTTTGCTAAACGTCAATTAGTAACAATTTTTTCTGCACCAAATTATTGTGGAGAATTTGATAATGCTGGTGGTGTTATGAGTGTTGATGAGAATTTAATGTGTTCATTTCAAATACTTCGACCATCAACTCAAAAAACTGTGCAAGAAACACAACCAAAAGGAGCAATAGCACATACACCGTTTCCTAAATCGACATCATCTATAAAAACATCTAATGTTAAGAAATAAGAAAATCTTATCATATATCAGAATAAATAAATATAGAATTGTATTGCTAATTATCGAATGTAATAATATGTATCGACGAACTTTTAATTAGAAATCCACTTAATAAAAATAATTCAGAATAAAGAAACAAACTGTCGTAGAATCTAATTCGTATACAGTATAGCCTTTCTATAGTGAACACTCTTCGGACTTTTCAACAGTATCCAATATAACGAGGCTAAATCTTTTCTAAAAAGCAGCTTTTTACAAGGAGCAGACATGTTTTCTAGGTATCTGAATGGTATTATTGAATAAAAAAAATTAACTACTGCTCATTGTTATTTGTCTTTTTATGCATATTTGTTCTTGGAAAATTAACAATGGTTAAAAGATAGTAAACTCTCCCTATCATGAACACCATTGGGACTTTTCAAAAGTATTCACCATAGTACTCTATGATGATGTCCATCATGGACGGTTTTATTATTTTGTTTCATTATCGAGAATCGAGTACCTATTTCATGTATCATATATTTTTACACTCATTATGTTTAATACATTCGCGGGGATGTTACCCACTGGTGGGCCACACTATAGAATGGCCAAAAGTTCCTTCAGCGCAGAAAATATTGAATATCTCTGCCACATTTCGACCAAAGGAGCTAATTCATTTACTATTGATAAAGGAATGATTATTGGTCATATCCATAAGAGAAACATTGATAAAAATCGTTTTGAAGTATTACGATTGTCATGAATAAAGAAATGAAATTTTTGATGACTTATGAACAAATACTATTCATATCGCCGCGAATGTGTTAAGAGAACTTATGGAAGTGTGTTTATAAATGAAAGACTTTCAAAAAAATAATAGATTTCATAATTTCTTCATAGAGTTGAATAGGTACAACAACAGTTAAGCTGTCGATACTGGCACCTAGCATAAAGAACAAGTTGAAGAAATACAAGAAAATAATTTTATTTGAATACGTGCACATTCACATAAAGGATCTTTAATTTGAATTGCCTTGAACTTGTTTATTTAGAATTTAGTGCAAGAAGAATATCTGTTACTTAAACATATTGGATGCTATCAAAACACACATGACTAGCACAATTATTTTTAAGTATGGCTGATTTGGTAGGCACCAATGGTACTAATTCTAATCTGCTTTGTGGTCCTGATGATTTGGCTTTGGACTCACTGAATATCTTCATCATTGATGACATGTACAATTATTGTGTTCGACTCTGGCCAAGAAATGTATTAGTAGACTCAACTATTGCTAGTCAACTAAATAGAATATCCGGTGCAACTTCGACTCATCTCATATATTCTGTAGGTATAGCAATCGACGTGAATGGTAGTGTATATGTAGTTACACAATGCAATCATCGAATTTCATATTGGAACAACAGTGTATCGATGAGTACCTTAGTTACTGATTATTGTAAGCATATCGGATATGCGTAATGGAAAGATTTGTATCAAAAATTGTTTTCTGAACTTTCTCTATAGGTTTTTATGCTGGAAAAACTTGTAAGAAAAATGCTGCTATACTGTTAACTAATTATTACCAATAAAATTTGTGACATAAGACTATATTTTATATATAACTATGCTTTCAGACACTAATTGTTCTGCAAACAATCAACTATGCGTTTTTTTTGCAGTATGTCGCGTGATGTAAATACTGATAGACTTTATATAGCCAATACCGACAATCATCATATAATGATGTACTTTAATGGTAATTCATGTAGGATGATGATTGCTAGTAGAACTGAATCGGAGACTAGCAACTTTTGGTTATTTAATCCTTTCAGTGTTTCTTTTGATTTAGTATCGAACGACCCTGCCAGTGCAAATTTCTATGCCCATAATATTGTTCGTTAGCTATCGGATGCTACTCAATGGATACATATTTCTGATGACATTAGTGGCACAAGTGGTTTCACATCGACAATGCTTTGAAATTCTACAGAAACTACTTTAGATCCCTTGGTAATATTTATGTAGCAGATTCATAGAACAATCGCATCCAACTTTTCTTAGTTGGTGAAACAAATGGCAGCACGGTTGTTGGTCAAACAGTAATAATGAGTAGTATCTCAGACCTGTTAATTCATTCTTTCTCAGTTGTCCTTGATAATCAACTTAGTTTGTATGTATCTGATCTTAGCAACAACTGTATACAAAATTATGTTCGTTTTTGATGAAATTTTTATCAATCGATCGAACAGTTTCTTCAATTTGAATGTGTTTAGTGTCGAGATTTTTAATAAATTACACATATAATTTTAGTATCAAACAATACTTACTATATCATCTCGTCGTCCAATATAAAATCAAAAAGTGATCAACTGAACTACAAATCTTTCTACTATCTAACTTATCTAATTTTTTCTCAATATAATCTCCTCAAATTCATTTATACTTCGTATTTATTCTATTAAAATATTTTTCAATATTTCTCATTAGCATATTTTAATCATATTCATTAAGAATTAGCAAAATAAGATATTTTTTTTTTAATTTGAATTGAAACATATTCTATCACCTCATGCTTTTTGTCCAATCAATATTTCATTTGAATTCATTTTAATTTTCTAGAATTTCTATGCTTTGATATATATATATGCACATTTGCAAAGTGTGTTTTGTTTTACTTTAAATTGAACGAGGTTCTTATGCTCTATTTATTTTATTTTTATTTTTAAATTATGCTCTATTGTCTTGTCATACTGTTCATCAAGTTCAATCAGTCATGAATATGACCTTAAATGAATACAATAAAATTGATTGTTATCGTTCAAATTTTAATCAATCAATTTCAATTCAAAATCTATTTCGATCACATTCACAAGGTGGTATATCAAGTGTTGAACTGAAAATATAATGTAATTCAAAACTTGAACGAGTTTGTTTTTACAGTGCTTCAATACAACGATAATTATCATCATCTGAACCATCTTGTATTTTTTTCATTCAATAATGGAAATAATATTCAATAATATAAAAATAATTCAATTAATAATAAATCTCAATAAATGATTTTATCAATTCAAATATTTTCTTTGTTTTTCAATTATTAAAAACAAATTAAAAAAGAAAAACAAACAAATTTTGTTTTGAATTATGCTAATCATTTTCCAAAATAGAATTCAATTTCAAACACGTCAATATTATTTGATTAATCATTTTCTAAAAGAAATAGTAATTTTATTTCAAATGGTTTTCCAATAAAATCAAAGGATAATAAAACGTAGAGTTAAGAATTTTCATTGAAAACATTTCTATAGCGAAGACTCCATGCTTTAATATATATTTTATTTAGTAATAACGTCTCTATTGAATCGTCAGTCTATTTTTTTAAATTTTATTTAAAAAATTCACAATATCACAAAATTTAGCTTGTATACTATATGAGTACATATGTTTAACACCAATATTTCATTGGAATTATTATTTTAATTCAACATTGTATATTTATTCTTCATGTCGTTATAGCTCAATTTCATCAACATAATCAATAAATTAAATTTATGTTACAAAAAAGTGTCTTACATTGGTCTACTGATAATATTAGTACAATATAAAATAATAGTAAATTTATTGTAAATAGTAGTTTTGAATCAAATTTGAATGAATAGATAATAATAATATTATCAAGTACAACATCACTAACATATGTTCATAATTAACTTAGGTCTTTACGTACAGATTCATGAGAGAAGTTCGTCAAACTGATTAATCATTTTTCAGCCGAGACTATGTACATCATTTAGACTCAAATAAGCTATGAATATCCTGAAAAGAGTTCGTGTCCTTAACTTGATACTGTGGAGATACCGCACTTTTACCGTATTTTTAAAATGAATACTGTAGTCTCCCCTCAGAAACACTAGAGAAAAAACTGATTTTTGAATTTTGACTTGAAATTACGCGTACAGACAGGCTTTAACGAGAATATTTTTTTGTTACTATTTTACATCTTGCTGCCGTTCCTGTCCTAAAATACAACTATGGTAAAAGCGTGTCTTCTACATTGTCCGTATATACCAACAGATTCGATATTCGTATTTCAGGATAGGAGCAAATCAAAAGATCTAAAAATTTCACAATAAACTCTTCTTGATAAGGCCTGCCTCTGTGAAAAGTTTCAGATCGAAATTTGAAAAATAAGTTTTCTTTGTATTCTTGAGATGAACTGTGATATTGAATTAGAAAAATATCATATTGTTACAGTGTCTCTGCAGTAGTAAGCTAAGGACCCAGATTCTTTGGAGGGTATTCCTACCTCATTCTATTTTCCATGATGCACAATAGTTACAACTAAAATGCAATTAATCATTTAGGGCACTTCTTTCACTAGCTTATCTTTATGGTGGATCACAAAATGTATCAACTTATTTCAAACAAACATTTATTGTTATTCAAGGACAAAAAAAAATAAACAATCGTTTATAATAGGTGGATGGAGAAAGTTCTGTATATATTCCAAAAAAAAAAATTTGCCAAGTAACTGTTACATTAACATAAAACAATTTCGTATATTTCTTTTTTTTTTAATTTATTTTGTTTCAATCAGTAAAATATCAATTCATAACGGCGTGACTTCATGTTTATCATTTTTGAGTATAACTAAGGGGTAAGTGTTACAATTCCTTCACATATGTCACTTGGACCACCCACACCACCTTCATCTAACCACCAGAAACTAACATTCACATTTTGACCTTGAACAACATTAAAAGTTTGTTTTATATAATCGGGTCCAGACACTGCTTCTGAATAAAGATACGCTGAACCAAAACGTGCTGCACCTGGTGCAACATGTGCGTAAGATGTTACTGAAAGATTCGTTGAAGGTATTACTGTCCATCCGGTTAAATTCGATTCAAAACCACCATTAATTATAAGTTCACCATTACTCTGTATCATACTGACCTCATCGATATACCAATGACTAACTTGTTCTTGAAGTTGAAATTGAATTGTCAATTGAGTTGATACTGCTAGATAACAACAACTATAATAAACATATGATGATGATGATCTGGTACAGTTATTTGTTCTACTCCAAGACAATATTGGTGTTGGACACGTAATACCACCAGTTGTACATACAGAAGTTTGAGTAGTGGTTGTTACAGCTGTCAAAGAGATTTTATTTGCAATAGCTATAAGATCATTGAACATACTTACTTGACAATAAAGTAGTTGTGTCTAGTTTAAAATAAATATTCATGAAAGACAAAAGAAAAACAGAATATTTGAATTATATAAAAATCTTACTTGTATCTGTTGAATCTAAAAATTGAAGATTATGAAATATAAAATAAAAAATAATTTTGCTTACTTTTCGATCGATTGATTAGATATATGACTACACCAATAATACATCCAATAATTAAGAATAAAATAAGAATACACAAACTAAGTTTACAAAACGATAGATTAAATTTTTTTTTCTTCTTTTTTTTTCGATTCCTATTCATTTTTATTATAAACGATATTTGCAAAAGAAAACATTTGAAATATACCTTTCATCAGTATGTAGTATAAAATCATCTTTAAATAAAACTTCACTGTTAATAGGATTTATTTGATGATTACGACTTAAGAATCGATGAGTATTAGACATATCAAAATATGTTGTTGAATTGATAATTGAGTTAATAGGAAGACAATCTCGAACAAGATTAGATAAAATTAATTGATTTTTTTCTTTTTTTGTTGGTGTAGAGATTCGATTATCTTGTATATTATTATTAATATTATTTTGTTTCCAATTGATGAGCGTTTGACTCATATTCGATGATAATGCTGAACGACGATATCTTGATACATTAGAAGAAAAATCACGATTCGAACTTAATTGATGTATAACATTAGATTGCATTCTTTTCGAACGTCGTCGTTTTGATCGATTCAAATGAAGATGTTGTTTAATGTTTTGTTTTTCAGAATACAATCGTTTGGAAGACTTTTTACGAGATATGCGTTCTATTGTTGTTTGGGAAAAATCTCGACTTATTTTCATTATAGAATTCTTTATTGTAAAATTCAATTAAAAGCATATGTATGATGGAAAGTTGATATATAAATATATTTTTGTTGAAGAAAAACTTTTATAATAAAAAAAAATTCAATCAGAAACAAAAAAAATTCAATTAGAAATAAAAAAAAATGAGACTTATACGGCATTCACATACATAATATATACATGGATGTAATGAAGACAAAACGAAGTAGAGACACAGTCGTCATTAGTCAATCATTATGGAAGGATGCAAAAAAGAATTTCTGAGCTCGATTGATTCTAATGACGAAAACGATAATTTTTCGAAAGTAAAAAGTGAGCAACCAATCACCAAATCCCTGAATGTATGTAATCTAAAATGAAGACAGAAAAGTGCAAGCATCTACACCATACGTTACGCCCTTTGATCATATTTTGCACTACTTTTTTATTATTCAAATTTAACATGAAATTCATATTACATTTTAAAAAGCAATTAGAATATAGCAATAGATCAATGCACTTTTGAATATATCATATTTTGTACGGACTCTAGACTTAACTGAAATATGATAAATAGGAAAGTTTATTTTGACTGTATTTTAATAAAAGATTTTGAGTATTCAATTAAACATACATTGTTGATATATATATATCGGTATGTGCATAAATATACCGATTCATAATTAAACAAATGAGTTATACTTGTGACTAGATAACATTCACGAGGGATACTCGTGATTCTCTAGTGAGAATAGATGAAAGAAACAGGTCGATAGATAATCATGAATATTCTATCACAATTTACAAAACTAACAAATAAAATAAAAACAAACTATGCACAAACTTGAGAAATTGACAGATTTAATATGTCGAATTATTCTCATCTACTTATTTTATTTCCTTAATCGATAAATTGCTTTGTAATTTCTTTTTTTTTTCAAGAAAAGCAATAGACATCAATGTGACAATTACTTTTCAAGAAAGAAAACAATTGCCAATCTCTTTTTAAACATAATGATTGTCTGAGTCGAGCTTAACACTGTACCAATAATATAATGACAAGTGTGTTAAACAGGAATATAAAAAAAATAACTAGTTACAATAATAACACGAGATTGTTTGTATATCATCATCATCATCATATTGCCTCACTAAAGTTCATCGGTCTCGTCGAAATATAAAATGCCTGAATAGATGCGAACAAAATAAAATGAGAAAGATTGTTCTTTTATTATCTATTATTTTAACATTCTTTTTTTGTACGGACATTCGTCATGGATTACGCCATTATTCGGTCCCAAAACATACAATATGTACGAATCTTGTAGTTCATTAGAACAAACTACTGAACACGATAGAAAGAGAGCAAAAATCTCTCGTTTTCTTTCTCTTTTCGCTCATATAAAAAAAAGAATACAAGAAAGAACGAGACCAACACAATAAGAAGAGAGATGGAGAAAGATTTTTTTTTCCTCTGTCGATGAGAAATAGAAAAAGAGAAAGAGATGTATGTGTATGTGTGTCTCTCCTCTTCCTCTCTCCCTCGCTCTCTCTCTCTCTCTCGTCTAATGTTCAACACACATACATATAGACACACACATAGAAAAATTATCATTCTTCATCGTCACTTGTCTCAAAAGAGATACAGTTGAACTGATGGATCTCGAACTTCGTTGTCCATCATGTAAAGAATATTATCGTTCACCTGTTTATTTACCATGTACACATTCTCTATGTTATACATGTGCATTGACTATAATTCAAACAACAAATGAACATCATCACAATCAATCTACACTTGATATATCATCAACATCTTTTGCATCCGATCTTGATAAACTTTCTTTAACAAGTGACAATGATTCAGGTGTTATTATAAATCGACATTCACCATCATCATCTAGTTCAACATCATCATCATCATCATCATCATCAATATCATCTTCCAGTCGTCCATCAAGTTTACTTTTACCACCAGCTTTACCTGAAATATCATCAACATCATCATCATCATTTTTACCAACAATACCTATTCGTCATCAAACAAATAAATCATATACAACTTGTTTACAATGTCCTATATGTTCAAAAATAATTTTTATGGATATATCGGGTATAAAAAGTTTACCAAAAAATCGTCTTCTGGCTGATATTATTAATCGTTATCTTGGAGAAAAATCTTCCGAACAACAACAAAAACAACAACAAACACCGAAGTGTCAATTATGTCGACCTTCAGAAGAACGAACAATCACACGTATCTGTGAACAATGTCGAATTGGATATTGTGATCAATGTCGTGAACAATATCATCCAATGCGTGGTCCATATTCAAAACATAACTTTCTCGATGCATTACAACAATTTTCAAATAATTCGAATGAAAAAATCTTTTGTCATGAACATACAAATCGTTTAGCAACTAGTTACTGTCTTCATTGTCGATTGGAATGTTGTCAACAATGTTTGATACATACAAATCATGATATTGTACCTATTCAACAAGCAACTAAACTATATAAGGTAAATTGAAGGTTCCCTGATTGCATGTTAAAAGCGGAAGTCGTCCTTTCTTTCTTTTTTAATCAACTCTCGTCTGTCTGTCCAGTTTAGTTCACTATAGTCCAGACAAAATGCTTATCACGCACAGGCATACGGTCAAGATCACATCCGTCTTCTTGCTTTCTCAAGAGAATGGTCAGTTAGCCCTGAGGCGTCCTTCTCGCGTTTTTTCTTTCTTTCTTTTTTTTTTTTATAACAAAAAAGAGAAGAATTAAATTCGAACGACGGACACACATTTCCGATCCTCACGAGACAAAGACAAAAAACAGGAAATGTGCTGACTAATGTCTTTTGCTTTTTATAATATTCCAAATAGTTGAACATGTTGCCTCTTTTTCCCACTCGTATATATATATATATATATATACTTGAGCGCATCTGTTGTCACTCGAGCGAGAAGACAAAAAAAAGAATTTGTTTCAACTGATGACCCTGAGAAAGACGAAGGCGTTGGCCTGAGTGCTCACGCGTGCGCATGTCATAAAGATCAATCGTACATACTATCAATTCAATATTCAATCATAACAATTCATCTCATTGTTTTTACATTTTTCAAATGATGATCGATGATAGTAACGACATATTGTTTTTGAAAATTAACGAAGCAAATATATTTATATATACCGTCTTAAAACATCCTTTGGGATTTAATATTAAATAGTCTTTGAACTTTTCACCTGTTACATAACTTGGCATCATGAAAGACATTTGATTCAGTTTTCTTTTTCTTTTTCTTTTTTCCTCTCTCGGGTATGTATATGTGAGTATTCATCTAATCTGACCATTGTCCCTTGTCTATCATCATCTCGTTTCACATTTTTTCATTATTAATGAGAAAAAAAAACGGAAAAAGAATAATTCTACTTCTCTTTTTTCAATTAGTGATGCAAACAATGGGAATGCGACCGGATGACCACTGTCGTTCGAGCGGCAAGATTCTTTTTGATGACCGTACATATGTGTGTGTGTGTGTGTGTGTGTGTGCTATCTAAACTATTATTGTTCCAGCACGAGGTGAAGTGTCGTTTTTTTTCTTCCTCTTTTGTTATAATACAAACTTCTAGATTTTTTGTTCCGCTTGTCTTCCCAAGAAACATTACTATGTAAATTGAAAAAAGTAGGATGATGCAATCAACGGATATGTATGTGTACGCATAAATCACTTTCTTTTTTTTTCGAATTTATAATGTGATTCGGTGACACCTCGTTTTTCTTTTTCTATTCTTTCCATTGTGAATCAATCAATCTTTAATATTATTAACTAAAAAACAAAAAAAAATTTAATGTCTGTCCTTGTGTCTAGACTCAATTGTCATCGCAACTACAATGCTTATCGGAAAAAGCCAAATATGGTGCAGAATTTCTAGCCAAATTGAAGTTATATCCAGACTATATCAAGGTAATTTACTTCTGATAAGATCGGATCATTCTTCTTCTTTATATGATCGAACAACTAGAAGAAAAAGAAAGTCGAAGACAGCTAGCAGGAGGTTAACATAGATAGAGATAATCAAGGCAGATGGTCAATCGTCTAGTCATTTATTATTGAAGGTCATATTTAGTTCATATATTTATTTTATCATTCGATTAAATAAATTGATCCAACTGAGAAACATATTAATAATCAAATTACCTGATATTGTTCTGATTTTAATAGTGTAAGAAAAATAAATCTGATCTCGTTTTTTTCTTTTCGTTCGAGAATGGCTAATGACTATTAGTCGTATGCTTCATTAGATCCATCATTCAAACAAAATAACCTTGTTAGAAGAATCTCGTTTTTTTTTCTCATCTATGTCTCTCAAGAGATGTGCATGTTGGTTGTGAATACATGCAAGGATAAGAAGCTAAAGTAACGTAACAACATCATCATATTTCTCTTGATAAAATCATTTCAATGATGAAGACGATTGAATGAACAAATCCATCAAACAATAAAAAAAAAAAAGAAAACTATTCTCATGAGAATGATTTAAGTATTTCTTTTTCTCTTTTTTTTTCCTTACAGAAAAATGGTGAAATATTTGAAAAAAATTTAATCAAAGATATTGATAATCTTATTGTAACACTTGAAAATAAAAAACAAGAATTATTAAGATATATAAATAAAGAAATTGAAAGAAAAATCTCTTTAATACATCAACAATATTCAACATATAATGCACATATACAAAGAACAACAGGTTTTTTACAATTTTCAATTGAAGCATTAAAAGAATCCGATCCATATGCTTATCTTCAAGTTCGTCATTTTCTTTTGAATAACATTAAAAAATTTTTTTTTACTAATATAAATAATTTTCTTTTAGATATGTCATGGTTTAAATAGTAAATGTTCATCAATATATGGAAGTTTTTCGGATGAATATGAATGTAAAGCACATACATCATATGAATTTGATTTTACATTTAATACAGAATGTCTTTATCGAGAAATTCATCGTTTACAATTTCAA